TACTACTACTACTACTACGGCGACTGCTACCACTACTACTACTATGATAAAACACTATGAAGTAATGCGGGGGGCACGCCCAAAAGATGTGTTCCACCGTCATCGCTCAATGCGTAGCTGTTTTCAAAATATCAGAAAACGCCATGCCCGGGCTTAATTAAATGTGAACAGTTAACAACCGCCGTCACTTAATGAGCAGCCGCATTTACGAAATGTGACCTATCAACGCCTAGTGAGGGTGCGGTGCTAACCAATGTGAACCATCGACATCGCCTAATCCGGGGACGGGGGCGGTGTTGACCAACGTGAACAACTGCTATAGCCCCAATGTGGGATCGCTTCATGAGGGGTTTCCGGAATGTTGTAATCAAACCTGATGAGGAGGGCGGGTTTAAGAAATGTGATCAACCGCCATCGTGTACGAAGTGGCGGGCTCAAGAAATGAACCGCGATGCTCAGGAAACCTCCCGGCGCGCATGTGTGTTTGTGGCAAGCATTGCCGAAAGAAAACGCAAGAAAAATCATCTCTTCGATGCCAGCCGGGGGACGATCCAAGCCCACTCTTTCACGTACGGAACGTCGAATTCTAAACTAAACTGCACAGACACCGGAACCAGCACGCACAGCTGATCGGCACGAAGAAGCAGCTTGTATAGACGGAGTCCGGAGATGGCCTGAAGAAACGGCCCAAACTGAAGGACAGTTTACATCTTGCTTGCTTCACGCTCGGAACCGCATCATCAAAGCCAGGACAAGCAATTTCCCACAAAATGACAACAGGCCAGGGGGTTACGGACCTAACGCACCTCTTCATTTTTCGTACACAGCACTAGCTGCCGGTGCTCCCTTCCGCCAACCATTGAGACAGTCCTGTCAAGCAACATCAGAAAGAGAAGCTCCTGTGCTGATGGCCTGTGCCCGTTCCTTGACCGGTCCTAGGGTCCTAGATGCTGAAGTCGGAAGTCCTTTGTGCACTCTTTTGAGCAGCCTCAGTGGAGAGAGGGGAAGCGAACATGAGACTGCGAAAGATGGATTTGCAGAGTGCCGTGGAGCTGTTGCGAACATCAGAACATCTTCGCACTTGCACCAAGGCTTGCTCGAGATGGGAACCCAAAGAGAGCCGCAGCTGAGCTCTGCAGTAGTGAGTAGTTTTTTGGCCATGTTCCGGTGGGTGCAGATCAGCATGCAGGGGCAGACGCCGGCTTATGCTTGGGTTTTGATAGTTCTTGGCGTTGCGGGCCGGAGTTTTCAAGCCCAAACCCTAATCCAGCAATGGACGAGGTGAAAGTCCTCTTCAGTGGCCCGCTGAAGCATGACGGGACGAAGTCAGCTGGATACGACGCCAGTTTGCATTGTGGTTTTTGCAATGCACGCTCAGATGGAAAGAGTCCTAATAGATGTGGTGGCCATCAGGATGGGAAAAAGTAGTGATAGCGAAGTTCCGGTTCGGTTGGGTTTGTTCAGGTTCCAAAGAATCGGTGTGAACTGGAGGTGCGGTTCGATGCAGTTCCGCATCGAGAGCGTGGTCATAATGAACAGGGTGTGAATATTTTCCGGGGTTAGGGGTTAATCCTAGCTGATGCTCATGATGCTCGCTTGAGGGCCCCAAAAACCACAATCTTCTACCCCAGGCAACTGAGTGCAACGAAGGCGAATTTCTATAAAGAGGAATCCTGCAGCTCTTCGGGGCGCCGTTGAAGTCGAGAAGGAATAAATTGGATGGCCTTGGAGCCACAGCATCTTGAGGGGTTTCTGCTGACTTCGGGTATAGCTTGGTTGGGGTCCTTAGATCGGTCGCGGCGGTGCGCTGGGGGTAGGGATTCGGTCACACTTGGGAAGCTTCCAGTAGTGATCCAGTTCCAATAGCCCGAGCTATCGGATGCACGAATGCTTGCTTCAAGACCCTGACCACCAAGCGCGGAACGCACTCCTCATGCAGCCGTAAGGAGTCGGATGACTGGACCAGCGAGGAGGAAAGCAGCTGAGGCTGAGATGTTCTTCGCTCACCCGGCACGCAAGGACAATTTGTGTACGGCAACTGGTGTAATTCTGTAGATGCAGTGGGCTTTCCCATCGGTTCCACAGGAGTTTTACACGGCCGCCAGTGCTACTCGTGCGCGAGCCAGCGATGCAAGCGATTGCCGGCTGCCGGACTGTTATACCTATCAGTTGGCGCGATCTGATCAAGAGCCAACAGTTTTCTTCTTTTGCAGATGTGGTGCTGTGAAGCACAGTGTCACGCCGCATGTTTCACCATAGTTGGAAAGTGTTGTCGTTTCACTTCGGGCAGAAGATCGACCTCGCAGCAGTGGAGTAGTGGCACTTTCCTCACGCCGCAAGGCCATATTGCGGTTTGCGTGCGGCGATGTGCGCTTGCCTGCTTCGCAGAAGCCCATCGAAATTGGATAACGAAGTTGCCGTGCTGCCTGTGATGATGCTGGCACAGGCTTTTGCCAAGATTTTGGGTGCTGCGATTCGAACAAAAATTAACAGCCAGGTGGATCACAGATCGAATGTGCAAATCTGAAGACATGATACTGCGGCACACAAATGCCTTTTAAAGTGGAGCTGTACACGGCAGCACACGACAAGAGGCACAGCTACAGAGCCTGGCTTCGGAAAAATATACTTATTATTATATATTCAGAAATTTCAATATATCTCTAGAGAAAGGATCTTCTATGGAATCATAAATGAATATCTTTATATATATATGCTAACCCCCCCCCCAAGAACT